CCCAAAAAATCCCCAAAAAAACCCCCAAAATCTGCGGGGGTCACCCCAAAATGCCCTCACGGGGTTGGAGAAAAAAAAAATCCCAAAAAACCCCGAAAAAAACCCCAAAAAATCCCCAAAATCCACCGGGGTCACCCCAAAAATCCCCGCAAAAAAAAACCCCAAATAAAACCCCCCCAAACCCAAAAAAAACCCACAAACCCCCCCCCAAAAAAACCCCAAAAATCCCCAAAAAACCCCCAAAATCCCAAAAAAACCCCAAAATCCCACAGCAGGACCCCAAAAATCCCAAAAAACCCCAAAACCCCCCAAAAACCTCTGGGATTTCCCCCACCCCAAATTCCCAATTTTGGGAATTTTGGCATTTCTCCCTCCCCAAATCCCGGGTTTTGGGAATTTTTGGGAATTTTGGAATTCCCCCCTCCCCAAACCCCATTTTTGGGAATTTCCGGGGATTTGGGGGATTTTTCATGCATTTTGAGGAATTTATGGGAATTTTCAGGAATCTTGGGGAATTTGGGGGAATTTTCGGGAATTTTTTTGATTTTTGGGGAATTATCAGGAATTTGGGAAATTTTGGGAATTTTCGGGAATTTCTGGGAATTTTCTGGAATTTCAGGGAATTTCGGGAATGTTTTGGGAATTTTTGGGAATTTCCAGGAATTTTTTTGGGAATTTTTGGGAATTTTTGGGAATTCCGGGAATTTTCTGGGTTTTTTTCTGGAATTTTCATGAATTTTGGGGAACTTCCGGGAATTTGGGGGAACTTTCAGAATTTTTGTGGAATTTTCAGGGAATTTTTGGGACTTTTTGGGGAAATTTGGGAATTTTTAAAAATTTGGGGCAATTTTTGGGAATTTTCTGGAATTTTGGGGGATTTGGGGTAATTTTGGAGATTTTTCGTGGAATTTTAGGTAATTTTCAGAAACTTTGGGGAATTTTGAGGAACTTTGGGTTGTTTCTGTAATTTTTTGGGAATTTTTGGAAATTTTCAGGAATTTTCAGGAATTTTGGGTAAATTTCAGGAATTTTCTGGAATTTTCGGGTATTTTCAGGAATTTTTGGGAATTTACGGTAATTCTGGGATTTTCTGGGGAATTTTTTGAAATTTCCGGGAAATTTGAGGAATTTCTGGGATTTTATTTGGATTTCTGGGATTTTTAGGAAATTTTGGGGAATTTGTGGGATTTTTGGGGAACTTTTGGGGCATTTTTCAGAATTTTCGGGAATTTTTGGGAATTTTTGGGAATTTTTGTTAATTTTGTGGATTTTGGGAAATTTTTCAGAATTTTTGGGAATTTCTGGGAATTTCCAAGAATTTTCTGGTATTTTTGGTAATTTTCGGAAATTTTCTGGAATTTTTGGGACTTTTGGGGAATTTTCCGGCCTTTTTGGGCATTTTCAGGAATTTTTTTGAATTTTGGTAATTTTTGGGAATTTTCTGGAATTTTTGGGACTTCTTGGAAATTTTTGTGAATTTCGGGAATTCTGGGGGATTTTCGGGAATTTCTGGTATTTTTCAGGAATTATTGAGGATTCTGGGATTCCCCCCTCCCCAAACCCCAATATTTGGAAATTTCCGGGACTTTACGGGAACTTCTGGGAATTTTTTTGGAATTTCCAGGAATTTTGGGGAATTATTGGAAATTTTCAGGAATTTTGGGGAATTCCCGGGAATTTTTGGGAATTTTGGAATTTTCTGTGAATTTTCAGGAATTTATAGGAATTTTGGGGAATTTCGGGGAAATTTTTTTGACTTCCTGCGAATTTTTGGGAATTTTTTTTTTTTTTTTAAATTCCTGGAATTTCCGGGATTTTTTTTGGGGGAGGGGGAGGATTTTTTGGGGATTTGGGGAACTTTTGGGAATTTCCAGGATTTTTTTTGGGGGGAATTTCCATTTCCGGGATTTTTTCGGGGAATCTGGGGGAGTTTTTCGGGTGTTTTCAGGAATCTTTGGGAGTTTCGGGGGAATTGCCGGGTTTTTTCGTGAATTCGCCGGGATTTTTGTGGATTTTTGGTGGATATTTGTGAATTTTCTGGGGGTTTTTTGGGGAATTCTTTTGGGAATTTTGGGAATTCCGGGCAGGGGTCCCGCTGACCGGGCGTGCCGCCGGCGGCCGTGGCCAGGGCGCGGCGCAGGACGGGGACGAGGCGGCGCACGGAGCCCACGGAGACGCAGGACTTGCACAGCGGCCGCAGCAGCGGCACCTGCGGAATGGCCTGCAGCGCCCCGCGGCCCTGGGATGAGGGAAAGATCCGGGAATTATCCGGGAATTTGGGAATGGGAATTGGGGAATGGGGAATTGGGGAATGGGAATTGGGAATGGCAATGGGAATTGGGGAACAGCGGCACCTGCGGCACCGCCTGCAGCGCCCCGCGGCCCTGGAATCATCCGGGAATTCCGGAATTAGTCGGGAATTGGGGAATGGGAATTGGGGAATGGGGAATGGGAATTGGGGAATGGGAATGGGAATTGGGGACCAGCGGCACCTGCGGCACCGCCTGCAGGGCCCCGCGGCCCTGGAATCGGGAAAGATCCGGGAATTATCCGGGAATTTGGGAATGGGAACGGGAATTGGGGAATGGGAAAGGGAATTGGGGATTCGGGAGCAGCGGCACCTGCGGCACCGCCTGCAGCGCCCCGCGGCCCTGGAATGATCCGGGAATTCTGGAATTAGTCGGGAATTTGGGAATGGGAACGGGAATTTGGGAATTCGGGAATGGGGAATTGGGAATGGGGAATTGGGAATGGCAAAGGGAATTGGGAATGGGGAATTGGGGAATTGGGAATGGGGAATTGGGGATTGGGGAATGGGAATTGGGGAATTGGGGACCAGCGGCAGCTGCGGCACCGCCTGCAGCGCCCCGCGGCCCTGGAATCGGGAAAGATCCGGGAATTATCCGGGAATTAGTCGGGAATTTGGGAATGGGAATTCGGGAATGGGGAATGGGGAATGGCAAAGGGAATTGGGGAATGGCAAAGGGAATTGGGGATTGGGGAATTGGGAATGGCAAAGGGAATTGGGAATGGGAATTGGGGAATGGGGAATTGGGGAATGGGAATTGGGAATGGCAAAGGGAATTGGGAATGGGGAATTGGGGAATGGGGAATTGGGGAATGGGAATTGGGGAATTCAGGACCAGCGGCGCCTGCGGCACCGCCTGCAGGGCCCTGCGGCCCTGGAATGATCCGGGAATTCCGGAATTAGTCGGGAATTTGGGAATGGGAATTGGGGAATGGGGAATTGGGGAATGGGAAAGGGAATTGGGGAATGGGAATTGGGGAATGGGAATGGCAAAGGGAATTCGGGAATTCAGGAATGGGAATTTGGGAATGGCAAAGGGAATTTGGGAATTCTGGAATTCGGGATTTGGGGAATTTGGGAATTCAGGATATGGGAATTTGAGAATTTGGGAATTCAGGGGATTGGGGAATTCAGGAATTGGGGATTTTGGGAATTCAGGAATTGGGGATTTTGGGATTTCAGGAATTGGGGATTTCGGGATTTGGGAATTTGGGAATTGGGGATTTTGGGAATTGGGGATTTCGGGATTTTGGGAATTCGGGAATCGGGGCCCGGGCCCGGCTCCCACCTTCTGCAGCCGGGCGGCCGCCCCGGCCAGCAGCAGCAGCGGCGACTCGGCCATCTGCGCGTTCTTCACGGCCGTCACCGCGTTGGTGACCCCAGGACCCGCCGTCACCACCGCCACGCCGATGCGGCCTGCGGGGACAACGCTGGCACCCAGGGGACACCCGGGGGGCACCCAGGGGACACCCAGGGGGCTCCAAGGTGGCCCCAAGGTGGCCCCAAGGTGACACCAAGATGGCGTCAATATGGCACCAAGATGATGTCAAGATGGCGCCAAGACGGCTGCATGGTGGCGCCAAGGTGGCTTCAAAATGGCGCCAAGGTGGCACCAAGATGGCGTCAATATGGC